TAGTAGTAAGGCCAGGAGCCCCTAGTAGCGTCCTCGCTCTTAGTAGCAAGGCCAGGAGCCCCTAGTAGCGTCCTCGCTCCTAGTAGTAAGGCCAGGAGCCCCTAGTAGCGTCCTTGCTCCTAGTAGTAAGGCCAGGAGCCCCTAGTAGCGTCCTCGCTCTTAGTAGCAAGGCCAGGAGCCCCTAGTAGCGTCCTCGCTCTTAGTAGTAAGGCCAGGAGCCCCTAGTAGCGTCCTTGCTCCTAGTAGTAAGGCCAGGAGCCCCTAGTAGCGTCCTTGCTCCCAGTAGTAAGGCCAGGAGCCCCTAGTAGCATCCTTGCTCCCAGTAGTAAGGCCAGGAGCCCCTAGTAGCGTCCTTGCTCCTAGTAGTAAGGCCAGGAGCCTCTAGTAGCGTCCTTGCTCCTAGTAGTAAGGCCAGGAACCCCATACGAGATAGTTTTGCACAAACAAAAGTTTTTTCATTTTACACCGAGCCTAGGCGAGGGCAGGAGCGCTTCAAGAGAGCTGCTTGTGCAAGAGCACTTGGGAGCATCATCAATGGGGAGGTGCTGTCGTCCGTTTGGACGCGGAGAAAACGCTTTCCCGTTCGACGCTGAAGCGAAAAGAACAGTTGTTTGACGCTTTCCTGTTCGATTGTTTCGATGTGCGACATCAGCTGGGGAGGTGCAAGTCTTGGAAGAGCTGTTGGACGAGTCACAGGGGAAGCATCCGGAGCAACTTGGGTCCACATGGTCCGTTCGCTCCGTTCCACACGGAAGCTCCGTTGATCGTTGGATCGTTGGTCCCGGCCGTCGCTCCTCGTCCTCTTTCCCAAGGTTTGGTGGTGTTCTACCTGATGGACGTGGTGTCCTTGCAGTTGCATGGCTGCATGCTGTTTTGGGTCACCTCTCCGCTCACTTGCCCACCCCGATCCATCACGCCACCTTAAGTAAAGCTGCGATCCAACCGAATAGCAAGGGCAGTAGGGATGGCCTCCAACCTACTTGCAACGGCCTCCAACCTAATGGCGATGGCAGTAGCGATGGCCTCCAACAACCTATATAGTAGGGATGGCCTCCAACCTACTTGCAATGGGATCCAACCTAGTTGGCCTCCAACCTACCAACCTGCTAGCAGTGGCCTCCAACCTGCTGGGAATGGCCTCCCAACCTAGTTGCGCTGGCCTCCAACCTAGTTGCGAATGGCCAAGCATTTCCCGGCTCAGAGTTGCGGATGTGCCCGTTGCTGAGGTCCTTCTAGATGAGTTGACCGTGAATGCAGATGCTGAAACAGAGGTTTGGAGTTGGACCGAATCCTTTCACTCAACATCCTTGTTAACCTGTACTTGGAGTCGCCATGCCGGTTTCAGCTGCTAGGCGTTTGCAGACCTCCTCCTTCATTGCACGGCCTTTGATGTGTTGGGCTTAGAGATGAGGTGACAAAGGGAGATTTGGCCTTGCGAGGGAAGAAGCAAACCGATGCCACCGGGATACCGAGGCATCGTGGGATGAGACCGACGAGTGGAACGCTCTGACTCTCCAAGTCGTTCAGCACCTCAAGCCCGGTAGCCTTAGCAACGAGTTGTTTCTGCTGACCAGCCCAAGCCAGTGACAAGCATGGAGCCAGTGACAAGCATGAAACGTCAGCATTTTCGCTTCCGCAAGAAGTGGTTCAGCTGAATGTTCTGAGGGAGGACTTGAATGCCGGCGACCGCCTCGCAACCCTTGATCAGAGCAGTGTCATCAGCGAAAAGGCCTGTCATAAAGACCCGCTCCCGTTCGTTCCTTGTGACTTCCGTGACCGTTTTTTTTCGCCCAAACGACCGAAGCCACGGTGGTGTTCCTCCGAAAGGGCGGAAGCTATGCAGCTCAGCCTTCGTTCAGCCGACCCGAACTGGACCGGTGAGGCAGCAGCGCTCCGGCGCCGCTTGCGTGGGGAGAGTGGGGAGCCCAAAGGATCAGGTCCGGTGAAAAGGAGAAGGTCCTGTTTGTCAGGTCCTTCAACAGCTTTGAAGGCTATCAGATTTTCGGAAACCAACCACAAAGAAAGAAAGGAAGACACGTTAAGAGACCTTTTCTTCGTCTCTTCATGTCTCTGATTCGTTGTCCTTCGCATCTCCGCCGAACGGGTTCCAAGGAACAGCCGCTGCGCCTGAAGGCTGCGATTTTGCCTGTGATTTTTGGCCCCTTTTCGGCCGCCGGAACCAGGTCGAGCGACGTGAACGCTCGCATTCAGGTTCGAATTCGTCAGATGTGCCCATGATGCTGTCTATGAACAGCCGTGTTCAGTAGCAGAGCTGCACTTGGTTTGCTTCACAGTCCAGGGTTTTGCAATGGTGGTGTGTGCAGGGGGGCCGGTTCAGGTGTCCAGTATGCATGACCATGCAGCCGGACTTGGTGCGCTGCCCTACTTGCCGCAATGTTGGCTATTGCAGCCGAAGCCCCAGTTTTGATTTTGAAGCACTGTTGGAGCGAAGTTCTTTTCGAAATCCGTTGTTGAGCAGTTCTTGGCTTCACCCGAAAGACCATCCAGACTTGAAGCGACATGTGCAGCCTGTTCCAACGTTCGATGTGCAGCGTGAGCAGCGTTCCAACGAGGTGTTCGACATCTTCAAGCGGATGCTGAGCGGCACCAGTTCTGGTGTACAAAGTGAGACACCGGAAAAGTCAGCGACGCGGCAAAATTGACGACCAAGGCGTCAAGGGACCAAATAACTGAGTAGATAAGGAGCTATAAGGAGCATCACCTGCTCTTTTTAGATTTGAGCCAGAGAGGGAAGAACAGTCTGCAGCAATCAGCTGTGCTTTTTTGATCTTTTTTGCATGTTGGTTCGTTGATGTTCGTTGGTTCTTTCGGAAAGGACCTGCCGGACTTGGCCGACTTGAGCGCCAGCCGCCAGAGCCCAGGAGTAGCCCATCGAGCCAAATCGAAGTCAATGGAAGTGTAAACCGTAAACCACCTTCCTTCTCGGCTCAGTACTACTGGAACTGACCTTTTGTTTCTTTAACTTTCTTCAGGTTCGGTTCGGGCTTAAAACCGAACGGTTTGGCCCAAACGTACCGCGCCGTGGGCAGCCCGCCGGTGCCCGCCCGCTTTGGGGGGACCCTACGGCCGCCTCTCATGCGCTGCTGCACTCGGCGAGCGTCGAAGTCGATTTCCCAAGGCTCGCCCGGTCGACCGAAGGAGTCACCGGACTGGGAAGATGGACGGAAGATGAGGTGTGATGTGTGAGAACAGATGAAGGATGAAGGATGAAGGAAGGAGCAGAGCACGGGCAGTTTAAATCCAAGACTGGAGTTTAATTCCAGGTTGGCTGAAACATGAAAACTGTTGATCACCGCAATCGTGAGTTCAGAGAGTCAGAGAATCCATGCTGCCGATGTCCATTTCCGCCGAAAGCCATGCACCCATCGGGCCCCCATCATCCTGAGGTTTAGTAAAGCGGCCCAAGATCATTGATCCACCAGCTCCAGGCGGCAGAGTGCCTTCGTTTTCGGCAAGCACTCTGCAAGCACGTTGCGCAAGCACACGTTTCGTGCCAGGCCTCCGAGATTTGAGCGAAGAAGCAGCTTGACTTGCGCTTCTACTAGGAGCAAGGACGCTACTAGGGGCTCCTGGCATCGCTACTAGGGGCAATCGGACGCTACTAGTCTTGCGCTTCACTTTAGAAATCCAAGTGGCCACTTCTTAGGTGGCCAAGGCGGCGACTACGTCACTACTCTTTTTTAGCGAAGGACACCGATAAGAACACCGGTCTAACCGAAGACACCGGATTGTTTGGTGGGTGTGATGGTCCCTGGGCTGAGGTACTTTCAACAATCTTCCAATGTGGCTCTGCCGCAGAAGACACTCTTTACATCATGGAAGTCTCACTCGATATCACTAGTAGTTTCTTAGCTTCTTGTTCCTAGGGTAGTAAGGCCAGGAGCGCCCCTAGTAGCGCCCTTGCTCCTAGTAGCGGTGCCCTGTGCTCCTAGTAGCGATGCCCTTTGTTCCCACTTGTTCCATGTGTTGACTTTTTTCATCTTTCTTCTTATCTAGCCGACCTGCCAGGTGTTCGGATATTTGTGAGTGCAGTTGATCTCCTTGTGCTCGAGCACTTGCTCACATCGAATGAGGTCTGGCTGGTGTGGAGGTGCTAAGCTCTCTGGAGCCAAGCTCAAAATTTCTGCAGTCCGTGCTGCGGGAACCGAAGCACCCGTCCCTCGGATGCGTTCAGCATTCGCAACAACCCGCTTGGAGATGGGGATGATCTTTCTCTCTCTCTCGCTCGTTTTCTGGAACAATCGGTTCAAACAACGCATGCTGGACGCAACGTCCATCGCCAGACTGTCCGAGGCATTCACTGTGGACGAGGTTCTTGAGTCAGGAGACCCGAACGACGAACGACGAACGACATACCGCACGACGTGCCGATGCCGACTGATGCCGACCGATGCCGAGGAGTTTCCTGGAGGAGTTGATGGGCGGGATGAGTTTGTTGGAGAAGTGCTGTACCGGCAGCTGATTGGCCGCAGGCGATGCAAGCGTGTCGAGTGGCGAAAGGTGCCTCACTCAGCACGATCCAGTGCTGGAGCAAGAGAGGGCTCACCTGGGATGTTCTATCAGAATGGCTTCATCTTCGTTTTTGGCGGCTGGGGTGGCCGCGGACCCCGAAGAGATCTTCATGTCACCAAGCTGGACTCGCCCATGGAATTCCACCCAGTGGCGATTGATGGTGCGGGGCCATACCCCACCTACGAAGCCAAGGTCACCGTCCTCGACGACCGAGTATCGGGGACCGATCCACTTCGAGTGCTGGTGACCGGTGGATGGTGCCATGGTGGTTTGCTGAGCTCGGCTTGGGCCAACTTTTCGCTTTCTTTGTGCCATTACGTATGTGATAGGTCTACTTAAACAACAGAATATATATATATATATATGTATTCTTCTTTGATGTTCAAGGGTTTCTGGTGATTTTGGAGGGTTTTCTGGACTCTACCTGTGCCCAGGTTACTATGAAGAAAGTCGGCAGTATGGACTGATGGAAATCCACTGTAAAAATCCAGCGCTGTCTGCCATCAGGGCTCGTTGGGTCCAAGTTGGCTCGATGGACCGTCCCAGAGCCAATCACAGCGCGACGTTTGTTCCTCCACGTCTCTGCGGTGCTCACCTCTATCCCGAGGGCTACGTGGTGCTCTTTGGTGGGAGCATTGAGGGCGCTCGTAGTAGCCATCTGAGCTTGGTGGACTTATCCAATTTTCACTGGAGCCACGTGGACGTGGACGAGGGCCCAGCAGCTCCTGAAGCTCAGAATTCTCACAGCGCCACGCTTCTACCGAGACCTGTTGGACGAAGTCCCTATGGCATCCTGGTGCTCGGGGGAGGCACCGGTGACGATAGTAACGGCGGACCTCCCCGAGGAGGAGAGGACTGTGCTGGAGCTTTCTGCCTCACAGTCCAGGAGAAGGAGGACAGTCTGAACGAGGAGTGGACGAACGGCGATGCTCATTTAGTACGCTTTCAGTGGAGCAAAGTGTCTTCCAAGCTGCTAGGTGGTCGAGGCCATGTGGCGATGAGGCTATGGGGTACGGACACCGTGGTCCGTGTGGGCGGAGGGAAGCAACCATCGCGGCATCCGCTGCCCTGTGCCGTTTGCACCTTGAACTGGTCACACGGCCAAGGACGAATAGACCAAACTGGTCACACGTTGCAGTCCAACCGCACTCCACGAGGAAGCTCTTTCGGTGCTGGTTGTGCGTTGCCGGATGGCTTGGTTTTGGTCTATGGTGGTTGGGCCCCAGCACGTGGCACTTTTTCTGACCTTTGGGCTGGTTGTTTTGATGAGGTCGGCCGGAGTAGTGGCTTTTTCCAGCAGCTGCCACTTCACGAAGCCGTTGAAAGGGATGAAACGGCTTCAGATGATGAGAGCTTCACCTTTGTCCTGCAACGGCTTCTAGGCGAGATGGGGCAACGGGCGGAGTCTGAAGATGAAGGGCAAGAGCTTGAGAATGTGGAGAATGATGAAGATGAGGATGACGAGGATGAGGATGATGAGGGTGATGAATACTTGGATGTCGGCCAGCACGCTGAGGCGTCGTGTTCTGACAAACGCTTTTGCCTTTGCGGACCTTGTAGACACGGTAGGCTTGTATTAGTGGGAGCTTTTAGATTAACCTCAAGTCCTCACAAATAGCCTTTTGGTGCGACGACTCAACTACTTGAGGCTTTATACATCCTTTTCAACGGTGTGGCCTCAAAACTCGGTGGAGAGAGACGGAGAGCACAGCACGTGTGGCGTCTTTTCCGTGCTAGTGGCCATGGCCTCCAGGCCCCGCGACTGGCGCGCGCGCGTCAGGAGCTCCAAGACTTGCTCGACGACCTGGACTCGGTCGACTCCAGACCTTCCGACTGAGGCGACGCACTGGTCGACCTGGGGAGGCGCGGCTTAAGCGTCGACTCACGCGGCGATCGGCGACTCACGCGGCGTTTTGCAGGCGATCCCTGGCAATGGTCGGCCAGGCACATGACAGCCATAATTGGTAGCTAGGCAGCGAGACCAAAACCCTCAAAGAACGCATTCTTCAAAACCCTCAAAGAATTCTTGCATGTTTTCTGCAAAGTGAACGCGTTCTGGTCGGTTTTCAGCGGTAATTTGTGTAGATGCGGTCAAGTGGCTGCCCGCTGGCCACGTGGCCATGCTGTACATAGCGCAAAGCGGATTCTTCACTTGAACCGATTTCCGTTGATCCTTTGCTTTCCTCAGACTTTGGCATGTCTTAGGGAAGGGATGGGGATGGCACACGTCTTAGACCGACCTCGTTTGCTTCACCGAGGTCGCTCTCGGTTGCAATCTGCCGGTCCTGCCGTCCTGTGTCCGCTCGTGCACGATGCGGAGCTTGCGCTTGCTCATTTTGATCCGGCTGGAAATGCAGAGAATGGCATGACACGACGTTTTCGTTGACTCCTTTTGACTCCTTTTTCTCATCTCTCGTTACTTCCTTTTGGCTCAAGAAAGCAAGTGGGCCCAAACACCCTTTGGGCAACAACTCGAGTCTTCTGTGGACTTTGGCGGGCGTCTTCCTTGACCTCGCCCGTTTGCTAAGAAAACCCAGCAAAGCGTTCGTTCGGACGTCACGGCGATCTTCGCTATGACGCCATTCGCGTGGACGGCATCGCAGACCCTCGAGGCTGTCTACAATTCTCTGGCTCCACTATGGGTGGAGCTCTCCTTCCTGTTTTTCTTCTCCATGGGCTTCTTCTATCTCCGTGCCGAAAACTTCCGCAAAGGCAAGAAAGCTCCAAAAGTGAAGCACTTCGAGCCGCAGTTCCGCGCTTCGGTGCCTCGTTGCGAGAGAGAGAGAGAGACGCCGCGTCTGTACCGTGCGTTGATTTCGCGGGGTGTCGTTGGGTCGTGTTTTTTTCTTTCTCATCCATGGAGCTTTGTAGCATCTTATCCCTATAGGCCCTATCTCCCCCTATCTTCCCCCCTTCTTCGAGGTGCGCAAGACCCTGGAGGCCGAGGCGGCCGCGGGCAACGCCCAGAAGCTGCTGGAAGCTTGGCGTGCGGAGCAAGCGAAGGCTCCGACGCCCAAGGACCTTTTGAAACCCGTGGTGCAATCCTTCATCGATGCTGAGCCAGAAGCTCTCATTGATGAGATCATTAACCATTTGACCAATCACAAGGACACTTTGGTGAATTCATGGTCCGCTACGGTGATCTTGGATACGGTGGCTCGTTCCGGCAACGTGGCGGTGATGATGGAGTTGTGGGATGTCTATCAAAAGAGGCTGTGTTTGACTCGCAGCTGTTCCATGTATGAGGTGGTTTTGGGAGGCTTTGCTTCAGCTGGGCATCCTGAAAAAGTCTCCGAGTTTGAAGCTTTGATGAAAAAGGATCGCCTGAAATTGTCCCCACGGGGCCACTCCTTGATCATCAAGGGCTTTTTGAAGAATGGCTTGGTCGATGAGGTCTTGAGGCGCCCGCGCGGTGACCGACGATCGCGCGCGTGCGTTGGTGTGTTCTGCCTTTCCTTTGGGGGGAGCCATGAAGCTTCATGGGAGCCCCTAGTAGCTTCTTGTTCCTAATTAGCAAACATTGCTCCGTTCGTAGTACGGCCAGGAGCCCCGTTCGTAGCGTCCGATCGCTCCTAATAGCTCTGCCTGCCGGCCGTGAGGGTGTGTGAAAACGGGTTTGAACACGTCGACCTCGTCCTAAAAGACCAGGCGCATCGTTGCGATGACCAAGTCGGGACACGTGGTGCCAGCCTTTGCGGTGGCTCAATTTCTCCGTGTGGCTTCGGAGCATGGCCGTGCTGCAGCGATGTACGAGAAGCTCTTGGAGCACGACATCACTCTTGGCACAGAAGCAGTCACCGTGATTTTGGAGGAATGTGTGAAGACACATGATGCAAAGCTGGCAAGGCAAATTGAGAAGAATGCACGCAACGCGAAGGTTCCTTTCAATATGCATGGCTATGATGCCCTGTTGAAAGCCTATGCCGAGGATTGTGATGTGCATGCATTGGACGTCTTCAAAGAGATGCAAGCGGAAGGTCACACGATCAGTGAGGGGCTTTGTGTGGGCTTGTTGGCCCGCTGTGCAGATGGCAAGTTCCTGAGCTTCGCGGAGGAGATCGTGCGCTTTGTACGCGCCGGTGGTGCAGGTGCTGTTTGGGTGCTGTGTGGTGTTTTAAAGACCTTTCTTCTGTGTTTACTTTTCCTTCCTTCTCTTCCTTTCCTTTCTTTTGAATCGCTTTCTTGATCCCCCGCCCCATTGCCAGCATGTAGGTGCTGGAATGAGCATCGCAGTCTACAGCGGCTTGATGAAAGTCTATGCCTATAGTGGAATGTATGGTAAGGCATGTGATTTGTACGATCAGATTCGCGCAGATGGACTGGAACCTGATACCATGATGTACGGCTGCCTCATGAAGTTCTCGGTGGAATGTGGACGGACTGCCTTGTCGCAAGAACTTTCAGAGAAGCTCTCCGTCTTGGACATCCAGAACCTCAGCCTTAGCTGTGTTTTTTAAAGCCCAATCAGCCATCAGGAGTCAAGTCTAAGTCTAACGAAACATTGAGTGTGTTCCTTTTTTGACTCATTTCCATCAAGCATCTGGAGAGACAAATCACATCCGTGGACAATTTCGAGAATCGTTTCTCGTTTCCTGATGTTCTCGGACGCCTGCTCAGGAACTATATGTCCCTCATCAAGGCAGCCGGGCGGGACCGAGATGTTGACCGAGCATTCTCCATCATCCAGCGCTTGAGGGAGAACAACGTGACTTGGCACCCTCTCTGTGGGCTACGTGAGGAAGTTTGGACACATGATGTGGCAAGCCATGACCGCTGACATTTGGCACCCAAACAGCATAGCCATGTCATTCAGAAGTGCTAGCAGCTGCTAGCAGTGTCGCATTCTTCTATCGCCACTGCTTACATGGTCTTTGGTGCCGAGTCACACCTCCTTACAGCGTCATACATCCAAGTTGAGACACAGGGCACATAGGGCTAATAGGCTAGGGTAATAGCTAGGCACATGGCGCCCTCACACGGGACACAAGCTCCCACTCCTGGCCCGATGGCAAAGAGTGAAGTTGACCGTGAAGGACTTCTCTCGATTGCTGCGCCCGTTCCAGGTGAGTCAAGACGCAACTCGATTGACCTGGTATCGAATCGTCGACACATCCGAGTCGCCATTCGGTGCTGTTAACGAGATCACTTGTTCTTACTTGGTCTTCTGAACATCCGAACAGTGGGCATTCCTTGGAGGCCATACCTACAAGAGCACCAGCTGAGGTTCATCCGTTCAGAAAGTGAAGACGAGCATTTTCAAGTGTGAGCAGCCTGAGCATGTGAGTGAGAAACGCCTCGAGCAGCTGCCGAAGGATCTTCAGAAAGTACCTCAGAGCTGGACGAAGGAACGAAAGCTGGAAGCTCGGGCAGGTGCAGGCGGCGCAGGCCAACCCAAGTCGGGCTTTCATGCTCCCTTGAGGGCACGCCCTGAAGTGGACACCCTACGTGTCTCGATGGACAACGCCCCGTCCATTCTGGCAGACTTTGCTCGGAATGCGAAGCACGTCCTTCGGAAAGAAGCGAAGAGTGCAATGCCTCACGGGACGTTCCCGCGTGAAGCCAACCGACTGGGCACACCAGTGCCAGTTGGCCGGGCCTGTCGCCGAATGTAGGGCGTGGAATCGAACCGTGGTCTTGAACAGCCAAGCGCTGCTCCAGCCGTTGAGGTCGTTTAGGTAGTTTTAGCTTCATGTAGGTTAGTTAGCTTGCGACAAAGCCGCTCGGACAAAAGACTTCGAAGATCTTGGGCCTTTTCTTCGAATCTATGAGCCTTGGAAGCTAAGGAGAGAATCTATATAAGATCTAAGAATCTAAGATAGATCTCCCTGATTTTTCGTTGGACTGAGGTGAAGCCTGATGCTATTGCCTTCAATTGTGTCCTCGATGTTTGCGTGAAAGCTGGCGATCTCAAACGTGCCAGACAGCTTGTCCAGGAGATGCAGGACATGGCGTGCAGGTTTTGGCATTTGACTTCTTAAGCAAAGGACCAGACGAACCGTGATGAATAGTGACGAACCGTGGTAGTGATGAGCTTCACGAGAGCGTGTGTGGAACGATTGTGTTCTGGATCTCGTCCAGCTAATTTCACGTCACAGAACTCCGCGGTCCATGAGGCTGTGACAGTACTCTACATGGGAAATAGCTGCACTACCTCACCCTAAGTCACGCGTGCACACAGGACCTTTGGTCACATCATTCACATTGCTCGAAGTCGCGCACCCACCGACACTGTTCTACCAACATCCTCGGGCTGTAGTTGGTAGCCTGGTAGCCTATCTGAGCTTTCAAGCATCGCATTTCCCACATGTTCACGATGCATTTGTCTGGCCAAACCTCTACCCATCGAACACCTAGCGGACCTAGCTCAGCGCATCCTCAAGCTGCAGGATCTTTCATCGTTTCTAGGTGGTTCGAGTCGTGGCATGTCCGTGGCTTCGCACGTCGCATTCGATCAGGACCTTGAGCTGCTCGTGACTTGGCAGTTGGGCGTTGGATAGAACAGGTGCAACCGCTTCGCCTCGCCTTCTTCGCGGCGGGTTTCGTCTTCGTGTCCGCTTGTCCGTGTGTTCTTCGTGCACGGCCTTAGGACATCATCACGTACAACACGCTCTTGAAAGGATACTGCAGCAAAGGGGACATCAAGGGTGCCAAGGACCGAATTAGACCTGGCAGCCTGAGGGGGCCTAGAGCAACCTCTTTCTCTTTCATTTTGTACAGCTCATGCGTCAGCTAGACTTGACTGTGCAGAGACTAAGTTCGCCGTCCCATCCCTCACCGCAGCTTCCACTAGCTAGAGTCTAGCCGCTAGCCTTTGGGATGTTCCACTCTTTCATTGGCTTCATTGTCATCAGCTTCTGATCAAACAAAGTATCCACTCCAAAGATTGCAAGCTGCAAAGGATCTTTTGACGGAGATGTCCACCGCTGGCTATGAGCCAAATGACGTCTCATACAACTGCCTCTCAGTTTGCGAGATGCTTTGAACATTTTTGGTCCTTTGATTCGCTCCAACCTAATAGCGATGGCTTCCAAGCTGGTTGCGAGATGTTGCTTTGAACTTAATTGCTCTTTCAATTCGCTCTGTTAGAGTGCTCCGAGTATGACCAAGCTGCTGTGAGGTATCCTAAATGCAGCTGTGAACAGTGGCAACTTTGAAGATGCATGGGACACCATTGCCAAAATGGAGCTTTCAGCTGCAAGAAGACTACTAGTAACAAGGACGTTACTAGGGCTAGGGGCTCCTGGCCATACTACTAGTAACAAGGACGCTACTAGGGACCGAACATCCCAAAGTGTGACAGGGGTTTTCGTGTATCAGTGATGGCCCGCCTCAAATCGAGGAGCAAATGAATGTGAAGCCTGACCACTACACAGTCGCTCGAATGGCCTATGGCATTCATTTGAGTAAAAGCAAACAAGGGCATCGCTACTAGGAGCAAGGACGCTACTAGGGGCTCCTGGCCGTACTACTAGGAGCAAGGACGCTACTAGAAACAAAGGGCATCGCTACTAGGAGCAATGTTTTAGACCGACCTCGAGTGCCGGTAAGGTCTCCATCATGCTGAAGGCCCTGAAGCGAGCCAAGGGTGCCAAGGACGTTCCTTTTCGCCAAAGAAGCGCCTTTTACTTTTTTCGAACCAACCATGGGCCGTTTCAAGGTCGTGTTTTCTTCTGTTTTAGTCTTTCTTTAAACTTTAAGAACTTCCTTTCTCCACTCGGCCATTGAATGGCCGAAAAACCGAGCTTCTGAGGTGAACCGCTGCTTGAGCTTCTTGGATCGCTCCAGCATTGACCCGTGCTCCGACGAGATTCTGATGAACACCGCCCCTCGGTGTTGGAAAGCGAAAGAACACAAAACACAGAGATGGCCAAACACGGCCTAATAGCAAAAGGAAGCTACTAACTCCACCCTACTAGCGATGGCCTCCAACCTACGAAAGAACACAAAGGCGCTTGGACGGAGCAAGTTTCGGGCAAACTCTGTTACTCTCTCCTCAAGTTCGCTCACTTTCATCCCAACAACGCGATACGTCGCAGCAAGGTGCTGGAGACTTACATCCGCCACAAGGAACACAGGCGGACCATGGCGGACCATGGCAGAACATGATGTTGCACGTTCTGTGGAAATCGATGGGTGCACTTGAGAGAGCATCGCAGAATATCAGATAGCCTGTCTAAGAGCTGGGGGGAGTGTATTGTTTCGAAATCTTGAAATCACATTTAAAAAACACCTGCCTCAATGCCTTCGCACGTTGAAAAGTCCAGGCGCCTGGAAAGTCTCCTCAACAAGTTTGCCTCTTGGCACGGTGCTTTTAGGACATGCCGTGCACGGTGCCGTGGGACATGCCGTGCCCCCATGCCGTGCCTGAGCCAAGGAGCAGTCCAGTTTGCGGCCTTCAGTCCCCACGTATGGATCCATCATCAAGGCATATGCCAATTTGAAGCGCCCAGACAAGTGCTGGCATTTCTGGAATGACGCTTGGCTTACAAACAAAAAGGGCTCGGGCGCCCAAAACGCTCCGGAATTCGGCTCCATGTGTGAGGAGTTGTGATCCCTTCGAAAGAGACGGTTCCTTCTGAGGAGATGCAGGGTCAGCGTGGCTTGGAGCCCAATGACATCGTCTTTGGCTGCATGTTGGATGCTCTCGTTTGCAACGGACAAGTGGATGAAGCTGTGAAGCTTTTTGACGCTTGAAATGCAAGAATCGGATCGATAAGGACCCTGGTGCTGTGGTGTAGTGTGGGGCTTGTAGACTTGTAGAATGTTCTGATTGGACTTGGGCATGTTGCTGCACACAAAAGGACACAGCCACAAATCTAATTTCTGTGACTAGTTTGTACCGGAGAACCCAAAAGCCAAAACCACTCGTTGTCCCGCGAAACGAAAGATGTGATTTGAGGAGAGTAGCAACTTGAAGCCCAATGCCGTTTTGTGCTCCATTCTGGTCAAGGGCTTCACCACCACTGGACAAACGCAAAAAGCCATGTCTCTTTGGCACGAGATGCGTCAGAAGGGTGTGAAGATGAACACAGCAGCTTGCAATGCCTTCGTTGATGCCCAAGCACGTGTGGGGAACATGGATGAAGTGTTGTTGATTGTGGAGGCTATGGCTGAAGATGGTTGCAAACCAGATGGTATCACCCACTCCACCATCGTGAAGGGCTATGCAGTGAAAGGTGATCTTGATAAGGCCATGGAAGTCTTGCGCAGCATGCAAGAGAGTGGCGTTTATCACGATGCCATCGTCTACAACACCATCCTGGATGGCTGCACCAAGCACAAGAGAGCCGACTTGGTGGACCCCATTCTCGAGAGCATGGAAGCACACAAAATCGCACCAACGAACTTTACCTTGGGTATCCTGGTGAAGTTCTACAGCCGCCAGAAGCAGCTGGACAAGGCCTTCTCTTGCATGAGCACACTGCCGAAGCGTGGGAATTTCGTGCCCAATTGCCAAGTCTGGTCTTGCTTGATGGGTGCCTGCTTGATGAACGGAAGCCCATCGAAAGCTCTCCAAGTCTTCACCAACATGCGTGCTGCAGGTCAGAGTGCCGACACTCGAGCCTGCACTTCGTTGGTCTCCGGTCTGGTGCGCATGGGCCAACTGAGGAATGCCGTCCAAGTGGTCGACGAAGTCTTTGGCCTCAACGGTACCACACGAATGGGTCACGGCGTCACCATCGAGCAGGACGCCGGAAGCGCGGACGGCGGATCCGCGGGTTGGTTGCGCGAGGGGTTGGCGCGATCCGCGGCTCTCTACGAGGAAAGCTGGACGCAGAATAGCTCACACAGAACATCAGTTAACTCCTGGAGTCTTTTAGGGAAACGATCAAACAACACAGAGGTCAATCCTCAGTTTCGGACAACACAGAAATCAGTAGGTCATGGCCTAGTTGTTCGAGTACAAAGACAGGCTCTTAGGTAGAGTCTTCGGGCTTTGGAGTCATGCCCTGCTTCACTGCGTTTCTGTTGGCCAGATCATTGTCTTTTATGTTTTTACTGTATATGTATTATTTCTTTTACGCCAGTTTTGTTGCTTCTTTCTTGACACCTTTAGACCGTGTCTTTCTTCCCCTTTTTTCTTGCTTCCCTGCCCTTCCCTTTCCTTTCAACTCATTCCTTGTCTTAGCAAGTATTCTTTCAAGGTCTTTATCATGTCGTCTTAGCACTAGGTGTAGACTCTACAACTACCCTTGCGTTCTTCTCAGATGCGTTCTTCTTAGTTCTTTGCAGTTACCTTTTTTGGAAGCCTTTTTCTTATGGTCTCAATGGCTCTTCTTTGTTTTCGAACAACACTTCGGTTCGTTTGAGCTGTTTCGTGCAGGATTGCTTGGAGAGTTTGCTGGCTGCCCTGGTGCACAAGGGATTGCGTGAAGAGATGGCCGCACCTCTCTTGGAGCGGCTTCGTGCTGCGCAGGTTCCCATCAGCGGACGTTTGATGGTGGCGACCCTCGGTGATGCGTCGCCGGATCGTCCCGAGCATCGTCGCTCCAAGCACGAGCGTTGACGACGTGGGTCCGAAAGTCAGCGCCACTTGGAGGCGAAGCTCTCACATCTAAGGCACCTCTTGAGGCATCGACCTACTGTTTTTGCTATCTAATCAGTTATATCATATCTATAAGTTTATAAGACTAAATGCTGGAACTGAAAGGGCCAAGCGCTTGCTAGCAGGACAACACCAGACAGATCGCCGCCGCTGTGAGGCGACGATATGCCGCACGATGTGTCTGGGCCACTGGTAAAGTGTGGACAGGGCGGGGGGCCTCAGTCCCGCACAGACAGCACTGTCTTAGCACGGTGCGTCCGCACTCCAAGCAAGAACGCTTCAGAAAGGAAACGGAAGGAAGGAACCCTCCTCCCACCCACCGGGGAACAGTTTCTTCTGCAAACCAGCGCCCTTCTGCGTCAAAAGCTGTGACTTCTTCTGGCCGACTCGCCTACTGGACGATTCGGAGGTGTCCCTGAGAGAGCTCGGCGTGAGCAGAGTTGACACAGACCAAGGATACAACAGACAGCTTTTGACACATCACAGGGTCACAGGAGTAGGTGCAGTAGGTGCCTTTGCATTTGCACCTGCCCGTGGTATTCCTGCAGGACGTGTTCTCGCTTGACGTACCGCAGTGTCGAGGCAGTCTGTTCAACTGCTGCCCTCGCCCGGTCTTGGGTAGCCAAGGAATCGCAAACAAGGCCAGCTACCAAACGCGTCAAGCACCTGCAAGGCGCAAACGCAAGCGGCGAACGCATGCACCGTCTCAGCCAAGATGCGTTCGGCGCGTCCCTGCGCGAAGTAGGACCAAGCTCCCAGGGAGCCGACTCAGCCATGCTAAGTCCGCCTGAACTGGCCCATCTCAAAAACAAAGACAAAGAAAGGGCTGAACTAGAATACATAGAAGGGAACTTCTACAGAGTCTTTAGTTCTTCAGTAGGACATTCAGAGTCGGACCGTGCAGAGCCAGCCACGTCCCAAGGCACATGATTCCGGCAGCGTTTCCTTTGCGCCGGGCGGGGTAGGCCGATGACAACCTGGCCTTTTTGAGATGCATTGTGTTCCATGTCCTCAACTGTAGCGTTGGTTTGACATGTGACCCTGACGATAGGCAGCCAACACCGACAACACCTGATTCGTGTTGGTCTGCTGCACTGAGCCATGGAGAAACAGGACCAAAAAAAGCGTTTGCGATCATTGGAAGCTTCAACGCGTCGTCCAAGGAGTGAGCAACTACAGACTTTTTGTCAGGGGAACGATTCACGATTCCAACGCAGAGGGGGACAATGCTTGGAACTGATGTTGAGGGGGATATATGTCGTTGGGAGCGGAAGCGCTTCCAACGATGCTTTTGGTTTGGCCAGGTGCTTCGCTTCCGCTCCAAAGGCAACATCCAAGGCGGGGCGTCGTGCCGGCTTTCGAAGAACACGGGCACTCCAGGTTCAGCTGGTGTGATTCACCAGCTTCACGAGCTTTGAGGTGATTCTGAGACCCCGTTCCGGAACGCCGAGGGCGAAAGACCATGGAGAGAGCACACGGAGCCCCCAGAGTTCTCACGCTCCCGAACACCGCCGATGGCTCCGCGACTCGTTGGACGTTGGCCTGTGACCTCTGCGAGCTCTTCACGTTGCTCGTCCGAGCCCCAGGACGGCCAGGTCGGGCGAGCGGGTTGGGGCGTAGCGTCTCGCCACGGTGTCCCGAGGCTCTTCACAGTGAGGCCACCTCCTCGGCCGTGGACCTGGCGTGCCAGCTCTTGAATACGCCGGGGGCCCCTGACACGAAATGGCGTTGAGCTCGCCATCCCGCACCTCTTCCACTCGTCAATTCCACTTGTTACACCAAAATGCTGGAGTTCCGGAGCACGGCGCCCGGCCCTTCGCCATGTGGAAGGACAGCCGCCGTGCTCCGGCAATGCGTCCAGTTCCTTCGACAAGGGCTCCAGCGCCCGACCAGGCGTGGCGCTGTGTTTGTATTCCGAAGCCCAACCGAACTGACACCGCCGACACATGGGGTCCTCGAGGCTGACGAAGGATTGGACGTTGGGACTCTCAGCTTCAACGCACATGGCCTCGTAGAGGCGTTCAACCTCGAACAACGACATGTCGAAAGGTTCAAAAACCATTTGGCAGCGACGCAGAAGCCATGGCCGGTTGGAGGCCATTGCTGTAACGACAAAGAGGCTATTTTGTCACATGGATTTGTCACGAAGTCGCTGGACAAAGGTCAACCTCGTGCGTGGAGACTCTCAAGTGCAATGCCTTCACAGCATGGACTGCTGACAAGGCACGACAGTCTTCTGATTCCCTGCCCTTTGTGTACTTTCACACACTTTCTATCTGAATTCTTAGACATTCTTGGCAGTTCCAACCTAGCAATGGCCTCCAACCTAAAAGAGATGGCCCTCTCTGCCCTTTGCGTATACTTTCTATTTTCCTTTTGAATTCTGGACATTCTGGGCCTGCAGGTTCTGGGCCTGCAGCAGGCGATGGGCTTGGAAGTGAGCACCAGCCTTCAGGACGAGGAAGTGAACAGATTGGGTGGGAGGCCATTGCTAATCCGAATCGGATATCGAAGGAATTGAAAAACAACGGAGGAGAGGGAAGAGACGGAGCAGAAGGGCCTGAAGGACCAGCAAGACTGCTCAGCCCGTGCCTCAGGCTGTGAAACCGAAGGAGGGCACACACACACACAGCTTGCGGTCGACCAGGTCGTGGCGTCTTCGAAGACGGCTCTCGTCTCCGACCCTCTAGAGCCCCATTGCCTGGAGGATTCTGATGATGATTATCGGGATCTGGCGAAGATTCGGGTGATGGCGGCCGTGTTTACTGGCCGCGGAGACCGGATGCAAGTGCTGTTGCCATACTTGCGCCGGGATCTGAAAGTGCACAGAGGCGTCATTGATGGCATCGTGTTCTTGTTGATCCGCCCGGATGCCTTTGCTTTGGACTTGGTTCAGCAGATGAGGGCAATCTATGGCGACATTGTGCTGATTCGAGACTATCAAGAGAGCACTTGGTCCACGAGGGGAGTAGAGGGCCGAATGGGCTCTCTGTACAGATCTTTGAATGAGACTGGCACTGTTTACATCAAGGCCGGTTCCAGGTTTCCGATGTTTTTTTTGATTGGATTTGTATGGAAACTTGTTGGGTGAGAGAGACCAACGGCAGATCGACGATGATGTCGTCTTCTTGGCCAAGCATGCGCTGGCGGAACTGGTGCGGGAGAAGCTGCGACGCCGTTGCCTTTTCGTGTCCGCCAATGTGCCTTGGATGGGAAGCCAGAGCCGTGTTCGGAAACGTGGCGGGTCCGGTACCAAGACCTTCCGCCGATCCTCGGGGCTCGCAGCACCCCACCCCTGGGGAGTCCGCCCAGGGCCCTGAGTACCAAAAAGCAGAAGCGTCGGACCACCCCCTAAGGGCCTAAAGGCCTTTTTAGGCCCTTTAGGCCTGGTACCGAGCCGAAACTTGGAAGGAGACATCTGAGACATCATCTGTTTTCTTTTTTTTTCTTCTCCGTTCGACAAAAGACCCTCTTTGGGCCGCTTCCTGTCCACCTCAGGTCGTGAACCATGCCATCCTGTCTTCCGTTCATCAAGAACGTGGGGCCCACCGTGCCTTTCAGCGGGAGCACCGAAGGTGGTTTCGAAGCTGGGCTCCCGAAGGGTTTTCGTCCTTTCATAAGTCGTATTAGAAAGTCGGTAGTCTGTTGTTACGGTAGTCTGTTGTGAACCTCAGTCTTCCGCAAGGGCTTGCCTGAAACTTCAGGAGTGGGCGATGTGAACATGGATTCGTCTTATATCTTTGAGCGTCATCCCATGGGCTCCTGTGTCTTCAAACGCTGGGACTGCGCAGCGTTGGTGCACGAAAGCCGCTTGGCACTCGACTTCGTCCGACTTCAAGACGAGCACGCCAAGCACCTGCAAAGCACCTGCCAAGCCTCCAACCTACTGGAGATCGCCTCCAACCTAGATGGCCTCCAACCTTCTAGCGATGGCCTCCAACCGACTAGCGAGGCCTCCAACCTTCTAGCGATGGCCTCCAACCTACTAGCAAAGGCCTCCAACCTAAGAGCGAGCGCCTCCAACCATTTAGCTATGGCCTCCAACCTACACCTGCAAACTGGACTTGTCGAGGCTTTCTGGACAGAGAGAGCGATGGGACTCTATGCGCTTTTGATTTTGGCTGGTATGACTTCCACAGGCCGAGCGCTCTTCACAGCATAGGGCATGTTGTGAGTTTAGATACGTCCACGCGCAGGGCAGGCTTCCGAGAGCATCAATACATCCATGCCTCTCCGTGGATTGGTGCAACTTGGCGCGCAGCTGGAGCAAGGTGGAGCATCAATTTGCTCCTCAGATGGAACATGAACATGATGGGAACATTGAGTTCGAGGCTTCCTTCGAAGCCGATTCGAGCGCCGATTCGTGACCAAGGTTTGCCTTTGAGGCATCGGATTTACGCGACATGGAGACTCGGTCAAACACGATCCGGGCGGATGGAAAGAACCATCTCTAAAAAGCCGGTCACCGATATCTTCTTCTTTCTCCTTTCGGGTTTTACTGGTTCGTACAAGTAAGGAAGGAACAGAAAGAGAAAGAGAAAGGTCTGACCTCAAGACAACGGAAACAACATTGAAAAGAAAGGAAACGCCAAAGAACAGATAGAAACGCAGAGCGGATAGAAGACTGTCAGGACTGGTCTCGTGTTCATGGTCCTGGTGACGACGAGGAAGAGTTCAGTAGCAACCATGCAGAACGGAGAGGGCAGCACGCGTGCGCCATTGGGAGGAGTATCGCAGTGCACTTCTCTTACAACGTGTGCCTTTGGCATGAAGACTTTCATTTCAAATCCACTGAAGCTGAGTGTAATGTAGGAGCTGCTTCGCACAGCAAGCCCTTTTGAGGTGAAGTGGGGGAAGTTTCCGAACTCGTGTGCTTCCTTGCATTCTACTGGCTTACTAGCTCTACGTTTGCTGTAAGACTTGTCTTAGCTAAGCTACCTTACATAGTCCTTCTCTTTGCGGCCCCCTCGAAAGAGAAGGAGAGAAGGATCCCGGATACCGTTCACATGACCACTTGGTCCTCCGGTCCAGTTTGACCTCACTAAGGCAGGAAGGGCGGCTCTTGAGCTCCGACTTGCTGCAGCGCTACGCCGACTTGGCGAAGCGAAGGGTCGGCCAGTTCCTGTTGAGACCGAGCGAAGACAAAGAGAAAATGAGACGTCGTGAGACCCGTTTCAGACAGTAACAAGAAGCTACTAGGAACAAGTGCATCGCTACTAGTAACAAGTGCCTTACTAGTAGTAACAAGAAGCTATTAGTAACAAGAAACAATTAGAATTAAATCGAATTCTAATTAAACTCAATTACTACGAGCTTCTTGTTACTACTAGTATGGCACTTGTTACTAGAAGCGATGCACTTGTTACTAGTAGCTTATTGTTTACCCATTTCAGACGAGCGGCACATTTTTCAAGATGATCATCGAATCATGTGCTGGTTGTCGACGCTCTGCTGTTTTCCTTGACGCTGCGCTCCAAATCTGAGTCCGGCTCCCACAGATTAAGCAAGGGATCATTGAATTCCAACTTGGAACTCCAGTCTTATGACTTTCTTCTTCCGGATACTTCTGATTTTGACTCTTTGTTGCGACGGATGCTGCATTCTACCACTTAGTAAGACTTAGAACGTGTGTTTTTGGCAACGTGACATCTCACTAGTCTCACCAGTCTCACTTAACTCACACTCTTCCATGTTCCAAAGGTGGTCTTCCCTCTTCCCTCATGCGGTTGGTGCCATGGACACTTTGGCCAGTCGGAGTTGTCGGGCTGGAAAGCCTCCTGGCTTGGGCGAGCGCTTCCAACGGCGCCATCCAGGAGTGGCACGAAAGCCTGGCCGACGAGACAGCAGCCCTACGAGACGTCTCGTCCGATGTCTGTTGGCACGCGGGCTTTACCAAAGAACGCTGTTGTCGTGGTGACCCAACGACCTCACCCGATTGCTGGGACGGAAGCTATAGCTTTGGGGAGTGCTGTCCCAATGCAGATTGCTGGATTGGGAGCTTCACCTACGAGTTCTGCTGTGGGGAGAAGCATGGCCTTGGCGGCAACAAGGCGTGTTGGAGTGGAGGCTTTACCCACCAGCTGTGCTGCTTGGCGAACGCCACGTCCAATAGCTGGGCGGATATTTTATCCTCGGAAATCGAGACGGAACAGTTTTACCAGATGGATGACTTCTACACAGATGCGCAGTATGGCGACGAGTGGGGCTACTACTCCAAGGGGCATGTGTTGCTTGGAGGTGGGAAAGGTCAAGATGGCACTGAGCAAACTCAGCAGTTTGCGCATTTCACCACTTATCCCATGGCTTTGTCTCCCCATTTTGCCCGTGTCTTTTGCCGTTTGCTTTTCATTATGTGGGCTGGAAGCTCAGTTCGTTTCATGCTCTCTCTGACCGCTCTGCTGATTTCACACGGAACCTGCGGCTCCGAACCGACGACTGAGGTCCAGTTGGACGAGCGCGCGCCGTTCCGTGTGGTGGAGATGGGTGCAGGCGAACGGTCCGGACTGTTTCTGGGTTTGGAGGCTGCGCTATGGGCGCCTTTGTGAGAGCGCTGTGTAAGATTGGCTATCATGTGATAGCCAAAGGTTCCCGCACCCAACGCAGGTCGTTTGGAACATGGTGCCCTTTGACGAGGGGTGTGACACTGTGAGGCTCTGGGCAGCTGGCCTATGACACCCAGCAGTGTGTTCGCAGCAATGCGTTGGGCTTGGCACCAGCTTTGTGGCGACGATGGGCTGCAGCCTTTGAGCAGCTCAGTCAGCTCCGTTTTCAGTCAGCTCCGCTCTTCAAAGATGATGTTGGTGTTGTTGTTTCCTCTTTGTCTCCCCGTGGCCGTGCCTGAAGAACGTTTTTCACTGGGCACGTCTTCACTACTGTTCCCTCCATTGGCAGCTTGAAAACGCTGTGTTTCTCGGTGAGGTATACCATCATGGAGAGGCGCCTTCCGCGGCGCGGTGCCACGTCGGTTCCGTGGCGGTCCAGCACCGTCACGTCGGTCGGCTCTCGGTCGAAGATGAGTGGAGCGGTGGTAGGTGGCGCTGAACTAAAAGCATCGATGGCCTCCAACCCAATAGCGTCCTTGCTACAAGTAACTAGTAGCAACTAGTAGTAATGCCAGGAGCTACGTTCGTAGCGTTCTTGCTACGAACGTAGCGATGCCCTTGTGACTCAGAGCGATGGCCTCCAACCTCCATGTCGCTTGGCACAGGTCGCCTGCGCTGCGAAAGCGCCAGCAATCCAGAGGGCTGCGGTCCGTGGCAGGAGATGCGCAAACCACCGCCAGCAGCTAAGTGAAGTGGCTCTTGTGTTCAACTGAGGGAAGAAAAGGTCTAGCGAAAGAGTCCAAACGAAAAATGTGTTAACAAAAAAGAATGAACTAGAAAGAACGGTCTCAAGGAAAAAGACAAAACAGGTCTTAAGTCTAAAGATGTAAAGAAAACGAATGGACTGCGGTCTTGAAGAAATACATAACATATGAAATCTGCCGTAGGTGAGATGACTTGCACGAAGAACTCCGACGGCCACGGGCTCAAATAAGCTCCTCTCGTGCGGCTGATGGCCGTGTGTGCCAAGTGTCGTCGGTGCCTGCCCAGCGCCGGTGACACTTGGTGCTTGGGGTGCAGTGGGTGGGAAGCCCTAGGTGCGGAGTTGGGATTCGCGTGGTCCCATCCAGGTCTCCGTGTGGTGGCCCACGATATCGTGGTCAGCGCGGTCAGGCAGATTCGTGCTCTCCGAGTGACCCGAGCTGTCGTGCCTGGCTCTCAGGCTGCCAGAGGGTCCGAGAGGCCGAGAACTCCTGAGAGGGGACCCCGGGCTGGAACACAACCCGAGCCCAGGGAACCTAGGGCTCCCACTTTACCTCGGTCGCGTGTTGAGGCTGACGAGCACTTGGAGGAGAAGCAGAGGCGTGAGGAGGAGAGCTCCTACCTTTCAGAGGAGGAAGATTCTGGGGCTGTGTCTGAGGCGACCATCATCCAAGACAAGGCCAAGATCATATCAGCCGAAGGACTGTCAGCCAAAGCTGCACCAGCCCCCGAGTCAGCCGTGAAGAGCGAGGAGATCGAGATTGAGGAGAAGAAGGAAAGTGCAGGAAACGAGGCTGGTCCAGAGACCGTGCCTGAAGTTGGTGAGAGAGCAACATCTTCGAAGGGACCCAGACCTCAAGAACGTCATCAACGTCGACATCGACGAGGCCGCGAAGGTCAGCGGAAGGAGAAAAAGAAAAGGAAGCGAGACCCTACACACAGGGCAGGACGGAAGCACCCGAGGTTGTACCGGGCAGACGCCAACCCTTTTGCCAAGGTTCATCGCAGGTTGGATAGCTCGTATTTGGACTTTGATCCAAATGCCCCAGCAGAAGAAGCTATTCCTGGCTCGCCACCCCGTGCCAAGCATCAATGACGGCGGAAGGGGAAGAGCCGGAGCGGCTTACAGAGGGCGGAGTTTTTGGCACCTACGATGTCAGGGACTTCGAAAGACGGCACTTGTGGTCTCCTCTGCCAGGCCGTGTCATTTTGACCAGCGTGCCAGGCTGGGAGGTTGGAAGAGAGGATGGCAAAGGCTTTCTCGTTGTGCTGGGTCAAACCCTTGCATACGATGGGAGCTTTTTGGTATAAGTGAGAATAATGGGCGCCGGTCGAGACGGTGCTTTGCATGCACTCTCAGGTTGGTTCTATCGCCGCGCTGGTGCTCGTCGCATTTGTCTGAACGAGGGGCCGTGCGTGGTGGAAGGCGGTGTTTTCCGGGTGCGTCAGCGGGAAGTTCGGGATGGACCCGAATTTCCGGCTCACTGCCTTTCAGAATTTGGACGCGAGATGTTGAAGCAACTCCAGGGCTCAGGAGGAGCAACACGGGATGCAAGTCCCCCTACCGAGGAGATGGAGGAGGACGATGCAAAGCCTGTGGAAAGACTTTGTGCCGAGGAGGTCGTGGCCACAGGGTCGACCAAGCGGAAGCGAGAGCGTGTGAGCGTAGGGTGCTTAAGTGCCCCTGCCTCCGCTCGCTTGGCGGCGGTAAGGCTGCCAGTTGTGATGAATGGCCACGCCGAGCCTGGGTCCCTACGGGGCCGGCTGGTAAGGCTGCAGCAAAGGCAACAGTGTTTGGGGCCTGGTCGACGGGCCGGGATAGGTGGCGACCCACCGGAACCAGGGGAGGTTTTCGATGCCGACCCTGCTCAGGACCAGTTGAGGACTGGTGCCAAGATTGGGACTATGAGGACCCTGGCTGGCGCTCGCCGAGCGGGGGTCGATGCGGAGTCAAGAGGACAAAAAGAAGATATTATGAGGAGCTTGAGGAGGACTCCACTGAAAAAGGGGTTTATAACCACTCTGGCCTCTTCGGTGGCAGTAGCGGAACCTCAGCGACAGAGAAACGTGATGAAGAAAGAGAAACACGCTGCCAAGAAAGCACTAAGGAGGTTTTGAAGGAAAATGGGCAAGGACGCCGCGGAGGACCCCGTCCCAAGAAGAAAGTCACAGGAAGGAAAAGGAGGTCATGGCTGGTGGCAATCCGTGCCGTGGCAAGGAAGACAAAAGAAAGGGAAAGGAGGAAAGGACTCAAAAGGAGACGCGTGAAACCAGTGGAAAGGCAGAGGCGCCTGGAGGCCGCGGAGGATCTCGGCCTGGGAGAGGCCAGAGGGCCAGACGAGAGAAAACCCCAAGAGGAGAAACACGGAAAAGGAGGAGTGAAGATGGCTCCCTCAAAGACGTCGACTATAGCACAGTGGCTGACTTCGGCTGGCTGCATGGCCGAGCTGGGAGTTGGGCTGTATTTTCAATTCTTCGTCAACCAGGAGGCCGATGAGAGCCGCCTGATGCACAGTTTCCGAGCAATAGCCTCACTGAAAAAAGGGAGTTCATTTGTGTGCCAGCTATCACGAGTGCTACACTCTAAGCGACAAGTTTTTCCGTTGCCGTTGTTTTCTTTCCCCGATTTGGCCTCCTCTTTTAACCCCTGTGATGTTCAGGCTTTTGTGTCGGCCTCTGCAGACCCCTTGGAACGAGCAGTCCAATGTTGGTGTGAGCTGGTCGTGCTGTTCGCTAACAACCTCGCTTTAGGTAAGGTGTGTGTGTCGGGGTCCAGGGCCACGGCTGCGCAGCGGGACCTGATGCAAGCGATCAAGCAGTCCGTGACCAGGATGTCGAAAGATGACTGCAAGGTAGTATGGGGTATTGATGAAATCAGGGATGATTTCCAGAAGCGGTCTGTGTCTTACACTGGAGAGGAAATTTGCAAAGCCGAGGCCCTGAGCCTAAGTAGAATTCAACCAGGACTCCCGCCAGAGGGGCATGGTGCTTCCGTGTCAACAGTTGAATGGGTAGGGGGAAGGACCCGGGAGCTGCTGTTGGATCCTTTTGGCTGTCTCAATCCCGACGTAGGCCAACCCCTACCAAAACTTCAGAGCAAGGTGCACATTGTCGCTGAAGAGCGACTGGAGGTGGCTCAGGAGCTGGTGCGGCGAGGAATTTGCCGTTGGACTCATGCGTCACAAGTTGCGGTGTATCGTGGCGAGCGCATCCTGAACGGAATGTTTGGAGTAGCTAAATCTAAGCTAACTGCAAAAGGGGAGACGGTTCTTCGAGTGATCATGAACCTGGTCCCGGTGAATTCCGTGCTCCGTGTCATTCCGGGCAGAGTGGCTAAACTTCCAAATATTGCACAGTGGCTCAATGTGGTGCTGGACGACAATGAGACCGTGCGTATCGCCCAGTCTGACATGGCATGTGCTTTCTACTTGTTTGAGATGCCGTTGGAATGGAGCCGCCTGTTGTGCTTCAATCTAGGGTTTGACTCTGCTACGTTAGGTTTGGAGGCCCTTGACGCTCAGGAAGACTTGTGGTACTTGTCTTGTTGTGTGCTCCCCATGGGCTGGAGCTCAGCAGTGGGAATTATGCAAGAAATTGCTGAAGCTGTCCTGCTTTCGGGGGGCCTGAGTGCAGAGTCCCAGACCCACAAAACTGCGGTATTGCCTAGCTGGATTGTCAATAGCAAAGCTGAAGGTTCTCTTTGTGGTAAACCCTGGTGGCACGTGTACCTGGACAACTTTGCTGGGGGAGCTAAGGTAACTGACGGCGACTGTGAGGAGCTGATTAGGTTACAAAAGCATGCTGAACTTCTCTGGAGTGAAGCAGGCATTGTAGTCTCCCCTGGGAAGTCCGTGGTGGCCGCCGAGAGTGGTGTTGAATTGGGCGCATTCATAGGCGGAGCAGGACAGTGGATAGGTGCCAGCTGCGAAAGGCTGGTAAACATCATTAAGAGTTCTTTGTGGTTGTTAGAGCAACCGCACCTCTCGAAGAAGAAGTTACAGATCATGATGGGCCGATGGTGCTTCGCTTTGCAGTTCAGGCGGCCAGGCATGTGTCAGTTTGATGAAGTATGGAACTACATTAGCTCTAAAGGTAGCTCTCAGGCTCAGGTACTTAAAGTGCGGTCAGAGGTGCTGTTTGCGATATTGGGCGCTCCTTTGTTTCACACCTGGCTAGGGGCTAGGATTGATGAGGTCACTACTTGCAGTGATGCCAGCCAAACGGGAGGAGCGGTCGCAATTGCCAGATCTCTTACAGTAGATGGAAAGGGTTTCCTGGAGATTCAAGAACGGACAAATATGCCAATGGAGGTTCCAATTGTCGTGATTTCCTTGTTTAACGGCATTGGAGGCGCCGCCAGATGCTATGACGTGGCTGGAGTCAAAGTCCGCGCCTTCTTAGCCTGTGATATCCACAAACCCAGCAATCGAACCACTGCTCGCAGATGGCCAGACACTATTTTTTTGGGAAGATGTTAGGACTCTTACCAAAGAGAAACTGCGGGAGCTACTAGAGCACGTGGAGGATTTTGAGGAGATCCATGCCTGGGCAGGTTTCCCCTGTGTTGACTTGAGCAGTGTTCGAGCCAACCGGATGAACCTAGAGGGAAAATCCAGTGGGCTGATCCGAGAGGCTCATGCTGTATTTCAGGCTTGCCGTGAGCTCTTCCCCGAGGCTGTATTTCATTTCTTTGTTGAAAATGTCTCAAGCATGGATCACGCGGCAAGGAACCAGATCAGCGAATTGCTTGGAGTCGAGCCATATAAGGTTGACCCTAGTGAACAAGTACCTAATTCTAGGCCTCGCTATTGCTGGACCTCACTTCGAATGGAGATGTTTCCTCATCTATATTTCCGAAAGAGAGAAGGTTTTCATGAGATCTGGGTGGAAGGCCAATGGCCCGAGCCATCTCAATGGCTGACACCTGGCTGGTCACAAGACCTGGCCACGGTAGTCTACCCCACGTTCATGAAAGCGATTCGGCGTGACCAGCCGCCTCCCCGGCCGGCAGGGCTAGACCGGACGGACTATGCTACCAGAATCCGATGGGAAAGTGACAGCTTTAGGTTCCCACCATACCAGTATAAATGGCAATACTTGGTTTTTGATTCTGAAGGGTCAGGTCGCCTGTTGAACGCGGACGAAAGGGAACTACTTATGGGATATGGACGAGCCCATACTCAGTTCTGTATGTCCGCCTCCGCGGCTAAAGCCAATGTGACTGCATTTGAGGATGAGCGGTGCAGCCTGATAGGAGATAGTTTCTCTGTCTGGTCTTTTGTCCTATTTGCTGCTGCTGGTGTGGCCCATTACACTAAGAGTTTCGAACCCTCCTTGTTGTTTGGCCGTATGGGCCTCCCCCCTGGTTGTGGACTGCGCCTGCCTTTGACCTGCCCTCTTCAGTTTGGAACATCTTTTGGTGACCTAGGTCTTTCAAAGACGGTGGTGCACATGAATGAACACCTGTGTGCCCGCGTGCGCCACACTGGTTCCGACATCAGGGTTTCCACAGGGCAAGTGCTGAATCCGAAGGCTATGCCACGGCAATCTGTGGCGGCAAGTTGGTGGAAATGGCAGCCGATCTTCAAGACGCGCTGGGACTTTCCCGAACACATAAACGCGTTGGAAATCCGAGCTATTTATCTCACCGTTCTTTGGAAAGCCCTCAACAGGCAATTGGTCAATCGCAGAATCTTTCACCTCACAGACTCCTATGTCGCTTTGTCCATCCTGTCCAAGGGCAGAACAGGGAGCCATAAACTACGTTATATTATTCGGAAAATTAACGCTCTTTTGTTGGTGGCACATTCCTTGCTTCATTTGGCGCACGTGGACTCTTGTGAAAATCCAACAGATGATGCCAGCAGAGCTTGATGTTGTCATCCTTTCTCTCCCATCCCTTCTCTCCCTCCCCATTTATGGACCTACGGCCCAGCACAGGGGTCGTGGAATGGGCTTGTGGTGAAGGGGCGCTGAGTATGGCTTTGACCCGT